ATATATTTCGATATATGTGATAAAGTAAAATGAATTACTTTCCATTGAAAATGGTGTTACAAAATAGAATATTAAATCTCTAATTCGGATTTTATGCAAAAGTTTGAAAAATAACCATATATAGTGATAAATATAGATTCTGGTGCTTTTGTAAATAAAGTTTGATTTTGATAAATAAAAGAAAGTATTGATATATTTTGTAATTAAACGTCAAAAACTATTACATTATCTAATTTTCTATAAATTTAAATTTTGGATTGCCAAATAAGCTTGATTTTAGCAAAAATAGAGGTTATGCTCGGGATTGATCCCCAAATTCCTTGCTTTTTATTTAATTGAAAGCATAATACTTATAGGCACTCAAATCTGGTCTCAACTGGCAGTTAAGCATTCAAATTTTGAGAGTGCATATAAGGCACCTCAACTTAGCCTCAATTGATAACTAAATGCTCCAACTAGTCCCCGTTGTGTCGCATAGAAACCCAATACTAACGTGGTACATAAATTTTGAAAGTGTCTAGATGATCATTTTGTAAGTTGGAGTGCTCAATTGACACAATAGAGAAATACCTAGATGTGCGCTCTCAAAATTTGAATATCTATTTATTTATTTTGCCTTAATTGAATAGTGCCAATATTTTTAGGTTCAAAATATGCTAAACAATTTTGAATTAAAAAAAAATGTCACGTGTCAGTTCCCCCGATTAAAATTCTTCAAAATCCGAATCAAATGAAATCAGTTCCCCAGACCAATAACCAATCTGGACCTCGAACTGGTCAGGTTGAATTTTTTTTGAACAAATCAGGCTCAGTCTCTTAACAGATAAAATTAATCCCACCTGATTTGCATTATCTTTTATATTTTCAAATTTAAAATTGCAATATGATCACTTGAAATCACAAAAAGTAGCTTTTAAGTTTTTACCCAATTAATGTTGTTAGTTACTTAATTTCAAAGATATCACAAAAAGTAGCTTCTTTGTTTAGAGGTAAGTACTTAAGTTTTTAGCCAATTAATATTATTAGTTACTTGATATCATTTGAATCACAAAGAGTAGCTTCTTTCTTTTCTCTTTTTCCTTCCTTTTAGTTTTTTGGGGTTCCTTTTTTACGCTACAATGTTTCTCAATTTGTGTGTTTTGTATATTTATACACCTCTCTATACACACATAAAGGTATACATAAACACAAATAATTCGTTCCAGCTATTCCAATTATTTATCTATCTATTGTGTTTATAGTTTGCTTGGATGGAACTCCACCTGCATACCATCTTCATAGAGGATCAGGCACAGAAGTAAACAATTGGGTAATATCAATTGAGGTAATTAGTTCTTCTTCTTTTTTGTTTTTTGTTCATTATAAAACTCTGTTTATCTCTATTGTTATTTATTTCAATAAAAATTAAAAAAAAAAATACTTACATATATTTTCCAAAATCCAATTAATCTCCATCCTTGAGATTGATTTATTTAATAAAATTTTACAACATTTATTTTTGTGAATTTCTATATATCTTAAAATAGAAACTTATTAATTATATAATAATTTGGATTTTTAGGGAGGTGGATGGTGAAAAAATGTAACTCATTGTCTTCTGAGGAAGAATAGTAGGTTGGGATCAAGTGCAAAAATGGATAAGCAAGTTGTTTTCTCTGGGATGATGAGTAACAATCCCAAGTTTAATCCAGGTAATCTTCCAATTTAATTTTTAATTGGTTGTATATACACAACTTAGTTTAATTAACTGCAAGTTACATATTTATCTGATCAGTTAACTAAAACTAATTACATTAACTAATTAAATATGTNATTAATATGCAAAAAATATATAAATATTATACATTAATGTATTGATTTGAGCCGAGGGTCTTTTGGAAACAATCTCTCTATTTTTATGATGTAGGGGTAAGATATGCGTATATTTTATCATCCCCAATCTCACTTGTGGGATTACACTCAGTATGTTATTATATTATATATTAATGTACAAAAACTATGCGTTTTCCTCCTATTATTTTGATGGAGAGATATACGGTCTAAAAATATCTTTAATTAATACAACTATGGTGCTTTTGAAATTTGTAGAATTTTACAATTGGAATAGAGTTTCAGTTAGATATTGT